TCTTTCCGATGTGAAGGGCGCTATACAAGCATAATTTGTTATTGTTGTTGAACCTGCTCCTTGGCTCTACCAGCTATTGGAGGCCACATTAGGAGCAGGAGAGGACTCTTATCTTCCAGAGGATCCACCAAGGATGTCTTACTCATCCTTACTCTGACACAGTCCATTAATACTCTAAACTCAGCACCACCAGATCAAACCGATTTGTTTGCTAAACTAGATCTGCAGCACATGCACTTCATTCAGTCAACAAAATTAGACAGTTCCAGGATATGAAACATTATCTGAGCTGTGAAAAAAAACATAAAAAGTTCCAATCTCATATCTTTACATAGAGTTTGGAAAATCTGTGGCTTGAAATTGCATCTATTCTTACTTAGCCTGTGAGCTCATTTTGTCTTCAAATTTAAGATCACATAGAGTTGTGCAAAACTCTTCAATCCCGTCTTAGTGTGGAAGCCGATTCTTTAAAGAAAAGCTGTCATAATATTTTATAGTACACAAGATAGCGTTTGAATGTTTAAAAGATTCCTCCCTAGATAAATCACTCTTGCAAGTTACAAATTTTGCCTCCAATTATCCTTACAAGGATGTATGTTGTGCCATCAAAGGGTGCGTCTCTAACCTAGATCATTCCTAAGCTATTCATGAAGTGTCCTAATGCTGCACCCCCACACGCCAGCATTTATTTTGTAAACAGGAATGACCACGACATTAATACAGAGCAGGGCTCACGGTCAGTTCTAAAATGGTTGGTGCCTCTTAAAACTGTGCTGTTTACTCAAAGGAAAGGCTTACATTGAAATGGAGCCATGTAGTGTATTGGTTATAATCCCTCCAAAACAAATAGTAATTTGGTCACTCAATCCACGACTGAATGAAAAAAAAGATTTTTTTTTAGAAAAAAGGCAAACGAACAGTGAAAAGGGACATTACAGGAGAGACCAAGGAGGAAAAATACAAAAGGAAATGAGACTCAAATAGGACAGAAAGTTCTGATGTTCCAAGATACTCTACTTTTCTATTGAAAATAAACCAAATTCTGTCCCATATTGCTTTTATAATACTGTAATAATTCTTGCATTTGATATGGCGCCTTATCACGTCAGAAGGACGGCCTAATGTGCTTCACGGGATTAACTGTAAAGTGTAGTAATTGTGTATACTGTTTAAGTGAACGCAACAGCCAATTTGCACACAGCAATGTCCTGCATACATCCATGAAGTGACCAATTTAGCAGAAGGATTGTTGGCCAAGACACCAGGAGAGAGAAACTTCCTTCTCTTTTCGAATAACGCCATGGGATCTTCAACGTCCACTCGAACAGGCACCAAAGGACAGCACCTCACCTCCAACCCAACATCGGAGTGTCAGCCTAGAAAGACTATATGAGTTCCATGTTCTGGAGTGGTGCTTCAATCTGCAACCTTCTGACTCAGAGGCAAGAGTACTACTGACTGAACCAGACTGCCACACATAATTGTGTGTGAAATAAATTGAAATTGCTAGTTTTAGAGTAAGTTAGTATCGCCACAGGCAGCTGAAATAAATGCCAACACATTTTCATTGTGTTACATGCATCGGGTTAGGAGGCTCAGTCAATTCTCCAGTTAACACGCAAGCAGTTCAGAAGACACAGCGATGCAGAGCCAGACAGAGAGCTAGGCGCTAGAAGCACTTTCAGGCCTCATTAAAAGAAAGTAATTTCTGAAATAACTACAGTATTTGGATTAAATCACTCTCATCAGTGAGCAGTACCACAGCCACACCATATTGAAGATTGTTAGCTCCATGAGTACAACTCAGTCCATGTACCCTACAACATAAAAGCCTGTTCAAATTTACCAACTGTGTGTCGGCCTGGCTCAGTTGGTAGGTTCACTTCATGGCTGTTTGTGGGACATTGCTGTACACAATTTGTTTTCGTATTCACCCACATAACACACAATTACTGCACTTTACAGTAAATTCATCGGGACTCAATGCTTCGATAATAATCCTTGCATTTGATATTACGCCTTATCGTGTCATTGAAACGTCTCAAAGAGCTTCGCTGGATATAATGTGAAGTGATGTGTACGTTACTACACCAAATGCAAGGATTATTAAATCAAACAACATAATAACCATCCATTCTAGTACAATAGTAATAATAATGATGATGGCGAACAAAAGGAACACCGAGGTTCAAAATCTTCTCTTCCTCCCCTCCTCAAATGTTCTCAATACAACAACATAAACCATTGATCAACTTGATTTTATACTTACTTTTCACTCTTGCATGTTCCATTACTTTACACTGCCACAAACATGGGCAAATGGTGCCAAATTGCGTCCAAATTTCCACTTCCTTTGACTACAAAAAGCCAGTCATTACACTTAGTCACACTAAAGCTCTTAAGACTTTTCACATCATCCTTTCTTTTTGGGAGTTTCTTTAAAAAGATAATAATTTCATAGGTGTAAGGGCATAGCGCAACGAGGGAGTGGTGAGGCACAAGCAGATTTGGCAACAGTTACAGTAAACCTGACCATCAGAACACACACACACACACAACTGGTGTTTGACTCCTTGGATCAAATGCAAATCAATCATGAACACGTGACCCCAGGACTCCCCTGGACAGCTGTTTGTAATAACCGCACCCGATGCTCCACCGGAATATTGTAACGCTTCAACACAGCGCAATCCTGGAAAAACTCGCGCCCACTCATTCACCTTAGACGCTGGCAACACTTGAGGTCCATTGGCGGAGCAGGGGGTGCCGAGAGTCAGGGTTGGTGTGCAAGGGGCTCTGTGAGGTGACAGGAGGAGGAGGAGGGGGGTGGGAGGCAGCGAGAAAGGAAAACGACATATTTGTGATCAAAGCCAAACTGCAGTCGCCTCGGAGAGAGGAACCAGGAAGGAGAGAAACAACGTAAAAGCTCCTCCGCCAAATTCCGTCAAATGTCTGATCGTTGCTGGACTGCCGGGAGGAGGCAGCAAGGCGCAGCGACGCAACGCAAAACACAATACAATACTAACTTTGGGAGGCGCCTTTCACGTCGGGAGGACGTCCCAAGAAGCAAAGCCGAAGCCAGCGGGGACTCCAAATGCTAGAGAGGCTTGGAAACCCCCGGCCACAGCCACAAACGAGACAGGGAAACAAAAGAACAATTTAATCTTTCGAAAAACAAACTACTTTGGGGGGAGCGGATGGGCTGCTGAAAGGGTTAATAAACCCATTGAGATACAAACAGTTTGCCTCACATTTGGAGACGAAATCTCTAATCAGCGTTTTCACCTACAGTAAGAATGAGCCAAAATCCACCCACCCTCGACTCCCACATCAAACAATCGTTCTTTGACAGGCAGACACAGTAAAACACTGTTTGTGCCATATTGCCCGCAATCAGATCCTCCATTGTAATTCATTTCACAAGTGATTCATTTCAGCTCGGAATCTTTCAGCCCGCGTGTTATATATCTACACTCGCTCTCTGTGAGAGTGTTCTGCTTTCATCTTCTTCCAGCTACTCTCAATGCTGTTGTGCACTTTACTCTTACAGAAAAATCCATTCAAGTTCAGCTCAGGGTTAGTTGAAAATAAACAGAGTCGCCACCCAGCTTTGCAACACATGCTTAGAATCTTACTGGAAGTGAGCTTGATAAATTAAAGAGAGGAGTGCAGTTTGAGGACAATTAAAAGGCAGCTTTAAGCCATGTGCTCACAGGAGAAACTCAGTTCATTTAAGCTCTGTTCAATTTGTAAGAAGGGAGGGGGGGGGGGGAAAGAAGAACAAGTAAATCGTTTCAGATTTGTAGCAGATTTATTATTAATCTTCCTGAACCTGGCAGTAAGACTGAGCGATTGCCAGGTTTCTAAGGAAGACACTAACGTCAAGAACCAGGCCAAATCAAGGAGCTTGGGAGTTCAGGTGGCCTGTGTTTCACTGTAGCAAAATCCCTTACAAATATATAATAATAATAATGTGGTCACTCAATGCACGACTGTTTGTGGGACACTGCTGCGCGCAATTGGCTGCCGTGTTTCGCTCACAAAATATACAGTCAATTCACTTTACAGTATATTCTGTGAAGCACTTTGAGACATTTCAAAGACTTTATAAGGCTCATCTTGAATGCAAGGATTATTATTATTAATCACCATGTTAAGCGGTTTGTTTTTCATTTGAACGCATATTGAATGGATCCAGTTAATACTTTGTCCCTGAAAACACGGGCTGTTGATTCAAAATCAAAGTAAATGATGCTTTACTGCCAAACCGAAAATGAGAGCGATCTTATAAAACAGGCAATTAATCACTGCACCTTTAGCTTGCAACACTCCTCAGATTAATTGAAACACCGAAAGTTATCAAACCAGTTGTTCTGTGGATAATGTACTCATACACTCAATGTGTAGTGTTGTGGCAATGTTCAGATTTTCTGCACGAAAACAAAACCAATGGATTACAGAAACCTGACTTGTGACAGTGGCCAATGTGATAAAATTAGCCAAACAGCATAAGCAGTCCAGTTTCCATCATATGAGGAATAGGAATTAAAATGTGTCTGAAGTTAATTCAAAACGAGCTTTAGATTTTCAAGAGCTGCGTGTGTTTTTTATTTGGTCTGAGCAGGAGAGGAGCAACTTGCTCCCAGACCTCAGCCACCAACAAATGCTGGCAGCTCGGAGGCATGCGAAAACCCCACATTGCAACGCTGGCTAGTTTTTATCTCCCACGCTAGGAGGAAAGATTTGGTCGTCTGCGTTCAATGACTCCCGCATATGGGAGATTTTGAACTCGCCATGCGAGGGGAAACCGAGCCAATATGAGACGTCCTCCCGACGTGAAAGATGGTATACATGTGTACGTTGCATTGCATGGCGCTAGAAGAAATTTACCCTGCTTGAAACTAAACCGTCATTTTTTCCAGAAATCGGGTATCTTGCAAACAGATTCAAAAAAAAAAGGTCTACTGAATTGAGTTGAAAAAAAATCGCCTGCTGTTTACCTGTTTGTGGTGATGGTAGGACCCGGGCTGTGCGGATGGGGCCGTTTCGTACAGAGTACAGCTCCTGTGCCTCGCCAATTATCTGCATCAAAACATTGAGACAGTGATGGTCAGATATACAAAATATATAATTTTCACACGTTTGTCAGGGTCACATCAAAATAAAAATAATTACCCTTTCTAATCGATATAGACACCTCGGGAGGACATATCAGTGGATTCACTGTAAAGCGTAGCGACTGTGCATTTTGTAAGCAAGCGATGAAAATAACTTTCGTCACAAGCAGCTGTGCCACCTGAACCCGTGTTCCTGACGAGTCCAAAACGGTGATCGCAAAACAGTACACATGAAGAAACCCCAAGTGAAGTTCCTGAAAGGCTAGAGGTTAGAGCTGGTCTAACCCAGGACACATTTAGGGTGCTGCGCTCCGGGAAGTTATCTATTATGAAAAGCGCTATATATATTGTGGTTGTTGTTATTGCCATTGGACCTCTGCGCTAACCGCAGTCACAAAACATTGAGAAGGTATGGAACCGAGACAAAAGCATGATCCCACAGCGTAAACTCATCTTGGGGTTCAGATGGTTTGGACATACATCAGTTCTTAATGAGACTGTTGTCTTATAACATAACTGCCAGCAAGAGTGTGCTTCTTTATAACTGTACTATAGTTCTGTCTGGTCTAACAATACATGTCTGAACACCCTTCTTTTTGTCTCAATGTGAAGCAGCAGTTGTATAAACACTGATATAAAATATGTTGCACCACTCTAGTATGTTGGAGAGGAGCAATCGGCAAAGGCTTTAGAGCAGGTCTCCTCTGGGCACCCGAGCTATAAAACAACGTATAGCACAGGAAGGGGGGGGGGGGGGGGGGAGGATAAGGATAAGAACTGTAAATCAAAGTTACATTGAACAGATTTAGAAGCGGTGTCCTTTCCACTGATGTACGTGGGCGGTTGCAGAAACATCAAACATTAAGAGCAATCATTTCAAGCCACTTCTTATGTGATCTTAAATACTTAAGGAATTACCCGCTAAAAAAAATTATACTGTTTTGCTATAATCATTTCTAATGAGATTGGAGAAATACATCCTGTCTAAATATTTTTATAAACTGGGAGAAAAAGTTTTGCGATATTACCAAAGCAGACAATAATTACTGACCTCACCTAATGAGCCCCTAATTCTGAACTAATAGACGTTATCCCAAAAGAGCTTACAATTCAAGCTGAAGCCATATTTGTTCAACGCATAATAACTCCTTCAGAACATTCAGTCAAACTCCCCTCCTCCACCCCACAACTCGACGGCCAAATGCATGACCCAGTGTGATACTGAGCTTCAGTATTTGGGGGTTGGGGGGGGGGGGGGAGGAGAGAAAGAGAGAAAGAGGGCGGGGGACAAAGAGAGAGAGCGGGGGGGAATAGAAAGAGGGGGCAGGAGGAAGAGAGAGGGCGAGGGGGCAGAGGGGAGAGAAAGAGGGCAAGGGAATTGAGAAAGAGGGTGGGTGGGGGGTTGAAAGAGGGTGGGCTTCTACAATTGCAAGCAGCACCCAAAAAACCGCAACATTGGCGCCCAGCGTCCCCCACAGAGCACTACACAAGCCTGAATCACTGCCTTCAGGGAGGACGGGATGTGACGGAATTGAAAAATATCGATTCCAGTAACTTTGGAAGAAACGACGCGGCCTCAAAGATCTTCCTTTGCAGGTGACCGCGTGAAGCCGATGGGATAAGCTCCCGCACAGTGAGGATACGCAGCACGAGTACTTTAGATCTCTCCAAAGCAAAGCAGCAGATTGATGCAAACACGAGGCAGTGGCTTTCCAATAAGGTATTGTTAAACAGGGCAGTGACTTTGCCCTGACAGGAGATAGTCATCTGAAAAGCCTAACTTCCAGGTCACCTCCTATTAACTTCTATTGGTTTAAGTAACTCTCTCACATTTTACCCCAAATGAGAGAGAACCTTTTTGTAAACGGCATGATGCGCACGCCAGATGACTAACAGAGGGAGAATTATAAACCTTGCAAATTGATACAGCGCCTCTTCACGTCGGGAGGATGTCTCAAAGCGCTTCGCAGCATTGACTGTGAAGCACAGTGACTATTTCTAATGGGACTGGACTGGATGTGAATGCAGTGCCATTTCAAAGTGGCCAACATGGGACCTGAAACCACAATCTTCTGAACCAGAGGCTGGACCGCCACCAACTGTGGCCCCCCCTACCCTTAAAGAAGCCGTGCTCAGTTTTCCAGCTCTTCTGCTAGCACTATCTAAGACTTCATTGCTTGTTAAATTTAGCTAGCCAGTGCATTAAAGTAGCTTCCTTCATCCTTCTATAATGTACATCGAACATGACAGTACAAGGGGCAACTCGAGGTTTAACAGCATCCGAGAAGCTGTAGCGTGCTCAGCGACACCAGGGATGCAGGAGAGACCTTGCAGTCCGCTGACAGCAACAGGTTGATATGGGTGGAGGTAAATATCTTAAAAGGAAAATATAAACAAATTACTTGGATATGGATCAGGATACTGTTGGTTGGGGAAAATACTCCCATGTTATACCGCATGGTTGCACTTTGCTTGTACCCCATCCAAAGATGCCACTGTAGTTGGAACAGGTCACAAGGAAGGATTGGAGAGACCACAACACTGTATCCATGACGAAACATTTGATATAACACCTTGTCACGTCTTCGAGATGTTTCAAAGCACTTCACAGAATATACTGTAAAGTGAATGGACTGCATACTTTTGTGGGTGAAAGGCGGCAGCCAATTGCGCACAGCAGCGTCCCCACAAACATTCAGGATTGAGTGACCAGATTTTTTTTTTTTTTTTTTGAATAGGGATTATGACCTCCAGAAAAGCGATCCGCCAATCGACTACTTACTGTTAGGTGAACAGAGGCGTATGGAGTAAGGAAACTTGCCCAACGTTTCGCCCTGCCCGGGAATCGAACCCAGATACCCTCGCTTGCGAGGCGAGCGCTCTAACCACTAAACGACACGACTCCAGCTTGACACTGTAATGGAACAGAAGAGTGGGGATTCTGGAAAGTGGATAACAAATAGGCTGAAGGGATTTCTCTTGCGAAGGACGGACAGATATGAAATCAGGGCTACAACGAGTCTTTATTTAGACAGTTTAAAAACATTTTGCTGTCGAGTGAAAGCAATGTCAAACTTACAAAGTTACCAAAGGTGAAGTCATTGATAGTTCCCATGCCACTCGACTAAGCAAATGTTATAGCTTAAGCAAATTTCCCTGTAACCTGTTAAGACATCTTCCTGATGTACAAGGCTGCACATAAATTATTAAAGATCATTATAAGATCATGGGCAAGCAACTTGTATGTGTATCTGGACAGTTTTGTCCTATCGGCGTGTTCAGGGAGACTCTAAAGAATCTCATATCCCTATTCGGAAAATGGAAAAGGTGCAAAAGAACTTTACTTCCACAACAAGAAACAAGGGTAACTTCCAACAAACAGCTCTCACAAGGAAAAGGAAAATACCTTACTTTCTCCCAGCGATTTTGCTGGCTGTGACACAAAAAAGAAAACGAGGCTTCCGTTCAAAAATGGTTCACGGTCCTGTCATCTTCCCATCCGAAGAATTTTCAGGTTGGGCAAAACGGAAGAACTTACTTTAAAAAATTATCTGGAATCTGTGTGCTGTTCCACACCTTGTCCACTGCGTGTGGCTGATGTATGAAATAATTACGCACACCCTTTTCATTCATTATTCACTACCTCAGAACCATTTAGTCAGAAACATTCCTTCATTAACAATCTCAGAGCAGTGAAGTGAAAGCCTGTTGCCTTCAGAGAGCAGATTTTTTTTGTTCCCGAGTCTATAATTCAGGGTCTATGAATAATGTACGCGCTGGAGAGACTGTGCAGGTCAGTGGCAAAGCTGCTAAATGTAGAAAAAAAATGCTTCTTGCCAAGCTTTTCTTTAACCAAGATTATTCGTCAACAAAGCTGCTTTAGAAGACACTTATCTGTATCGCACAAAAGCTCCCGATTTCTCTCACCACTGATTCCAGTACCTAATTAGCCTGTGGCGTACAGGTGATGGGGGTTGGCCAAAATGCTGTGCGTTAGTGATAGCTATTTGGTCAGGTATGGCGTGTATGCAAGGTTGAACAAAGAAATTATGGAACCAATGGAATCTGTAATAAACGATCACCTCTGTGGAAGTGGTCAGAGATACAACCCATGAATGAATCGAGGAGTCCTAAATTGTCATTGTGATTCCTGAAGCACAAAGACAGTTTTAAACAGCGAGTATTGACTGTGGTTAGCAAACCAATTGAGAACTGTGTTTGTCTATTTTTGACATTGATTGCTTTTTTGGTCAGCCAGGTGTCCGTGACATTAAAATAATAATAACCCTTGCATTTGAAATAGCGACTTATCACACCTTTGAGACGTCTCAAAGCACTTCACAGAATGTAAGATAAAGTGAATTAACTGTATATTTGGTGGGTGAAACATGCAGAAACGCATCACTATCCTGAATAGCCAGGACAGGCAGCATCTATGGAGAATGGAAAGTGAGTCTACGTTTCGAGTCCACGAGTCTTCGTCAGAACTGGGTGGAGCATGTTGAGAGGGAGAGGCTTTTAAAAGCTAACAGAGAGGGGGTGAGGCAGGGCAAGGAAGACAAAGGAGAAAATGGGGTAGAGGACAGGGGATGATGGGTTAAAGAGGTGTTAATGATGCAACTAACTTCCAAGACTGCTGTTGAAGGTCAACTCGATTAATTCCATTGCCAGGAAATTCACCTCGAAGCAGGCTCAGCTCCAAGGAGACCCTGTTTAACCCTCCTCACTTCATACACACCCTTCCTTCCAGAAGTATATTTTGATTCAATTTTGACTGCATCAAGGCTGGAACTCAAAGCAGATCATCACCAGATCTATCAAACTACGTCTCAATGTCCCGGTTCAACACTATCTTGTATCTTGATCAAAACACAGTGCCATCAACTGCAAATGTACACCAGAAGCACGGATTCATAGAGGAAACTGCAACTGAATCAGTACAAGTGGATTTATTGCATGCTGAAG